ATATTACAATCAAATTCTAAGAAGGGGTTTCAAGGAAACTAAAAAAAAAATCAACGGTAATCATTACGCGGAGCGTTTTCTGGTTAATTTCAGAAGAATTTCAAGTTAATTCTGGTATTCATATCATGAGAATTTTAAATAACGAAAAATTAAAACCACGGAAAAGAATTGTTCAGTTTCGGTTTAACCAAATATTTGTTTCCAAAGTCCAGTATCTATCTTCAATCAATTATTTTAGGGCCATCTGAAATTGGAACAACACAAATCAATTTAAAATATTGCTGAGTGATTAGGTTCTAAAAAAATAAGACGGGAAACTGATGAAAATAGAGCACGGTAAAGAAACACTCTGTTTATATACTTTATTCTGAAATTCTGGTATTAAAGTTGTTCCTATGGTATAGTTAATCTATTTTCCATGTTCTCTCGTCGAATTCCCGGGTTTTTCCCGCTTTTCCCAGTTACTTTTCGAATTCCCGGATACTTCCCGGTATTCCCGGTTTTCTCGGTTCGCTGGCCACCCTGTTTGAGTTACTGTCAAAAGTTGTAGCTAATATCAAAGCCTACAAAAGTTTCATTCATTGATTTACGGAATGTAAATTATTTTCTACGACATTTACCACCTGTGGTGGTTGAACGGAATTGAAACTCATAGGAGGAAAATAGAATCAAGAAGCAGTGTTAGAATTTTCACAATATTTAAACAAATTTGAACTCTTTATCGAATCCAGCGGAACAAATGGAAAGGCAAATAAATTCAGAGATCATCTTTAGTAGAAAAATAAATTGTTCAAACCCGTTCGAAAAAGAAAGGTAAAGTGACGGAAATTCAACCAGAACCCTAGGAAAGATTGGTGTGTAGCACGGTATGAATAAATATGCGCAAAAATGGCAACAAAAGAAAGCTGAAAGCCTGTTCATGTTGCGGCGATGAAAGGATGCCTTACGCGGTACAACGATTATGTGCGGAGAATGACGGTTTTCTTTTCATACGGAGGATATGGCAGTGCCACAGATAAAGAGACCTTCAATGAGGTAACCTACACTGGCTTTGACTCTACTCACATACAACGTAACCCGATAGGAAATTGCTGACCACAAAACCACAGCCTCAAACCGAAGTCGTCCATTGCCAATCGCAACAATAATTAAAGCAATTCGTAACGCATAACATTCTACTACAGTTAATGCACATTTACCGAACTGCATGACGAGGCCGTGCTGGTGGTGACAGAATCAACCCGAACTGAGCCATCCACAGACAGAGCTTCATCGGCAACAACGTCGTCGCCGGGTCGTGTCAAGTGATGAATTTTTAATTCCACGTTATTGATTATCTCATTCCGCAACGGCGACTCCGTGAGCCGGAAGGCATGCTATTCAAGCCAAGGTACATTCTACACACGGCGCGACCAGATAGACGTTGTGGCGTTCAACAACAAACCGCGCCAAGCTGCATGAGTAGGATGAAGGGCTGTGTGATGTACTCTTTGTGTCATACACAGTACAATATCGATCGATTTTCTTTCAGCATGTGGGCGATGGCTGAGAGTGGGAACAGGGCAAGAAGGCACTTAATAGGACAAGTGAAAATTGAATCGAGAATTATAGTGTTCTGTGTGTCAGATATCGATAAAATGGTAGATGGATGAAGGAGAATGGCTGCAGGAGCGATAAACTGCTTGCAGCGATGTTCCGGGCATTGTTGTGAGGAATATATGATGAGGTATAACTATCTATTATTATTGACACCATTGACTGAAGGGTGAAGGAAACGGATCTGAAGCGGCTATAGAGTACCAAGTCTGCCAGATGTCTGCAGAAATTGTTGTTCAGGCGTTGAACTCTTCGATTGGTTGGATAGAGTTTATGGTAAGCGTTTTAATTGCATTAGTAGCACGGAATATTTGTAGGTTTTTCGGCTAGTGCATATTTAGGCCGGAACGAATCAACTTTTTTTGTGGAGGGCAGGAGTATGTGATAAAATAGTAGTGACTTTAGTGACTAAAATAACGAAAATAGTGACCAAATAGTGACTTTTTTCTTGATTTGTTTTCCGTTGATCTTGTTTTCCGTACTGAGTACCAAAGCTACCGACGCCAGGGAAGCAGCTCCCAAACCTGGACCCTACCTATCGACCCATCAACTTATGGACCGGAGACCAACGGCTTCACTTCTCTGGCGTGATCAGAAAATCCCGACGGTCCCAATTAGAATACACTGTTTTTACGCGATTTTTTTTACGCGTTTTTTTTACACAGTTAGTGCCGCTGAGTCGCAATTTACGCGGTACGTTTTTAACGATTTCTCGACAACGATACAACCTATCGACTTGATTCCAATCACATTATCTGTTTCAAGCTATAAGTAATCGAATGGCATACTTTAAAAAAAAATCACAATTTTTGGTGTAAATACAGAAATTTTTAATATATGTCTATATCGACCATAGCATGCTATAATTACGAATGGCATCAAAATCCGATTTATATAAAATATTTAAGCATGTGAAAAATCAAAATCTCGGTAGTTTTTTTTTACGCGGTTTTTTTACGCGGCACGTATCGCCCGCGTAAAAAGCGACTCCAGTGTATTCGAAACATGTCCACAAACTAAAGTGACAACCCAAGTAACATTTTAAGTTTTATGAAATACTACTATAAAACAACATTCATAAAACACTGGTCAAGGCTATTTTGTCATTAATGCATCCACCAAAACCTCATTAAGACTAGAATATCTCTAGTTGGCCCAGCCTGGAAAATGTTCTGAAGGGTGTATTCTCGAAGCTCTTCTAGATTGATTTACTGCAAAAGGTTGTATGACGAACGCATTGAGAACCATTTGAAAGCTACAATAAAAGCTATTTAGCAACAATAAAAACCCTTTTCGAGCCATTTCCCCTAGCCGCATGCTAAATCCACTATGAAAGCATCAATCAAGATAGAAAAGGATTTATGAATCCGATCTTATCAAAATAATTAAAATAGAAACTGATGGTATAAAAATCTTGTTGAATATCCAAATTTATTACAATTGAGATAAATATATATAATAATGAGAACAAATGGCCTAGTTTTAAGTGCCTTGTTAAATGTTATGTGAAATGTACGTGAAAACATCGAAAAAATAAGTCCGATCTCGTAAAACGTCGATTTGACTAATTATTTTACTAAAAAAAAAATCTTCAGATCGAGCTTTGTCGAGATTTTTTTTTTATGATTTTCGCATTTAAATGTTTGCTTATTGCTAAATTTACCAAAATATAGTTATATCCAAGGAAATATAGATTGAAAATCGAACATTGTAAAAAACAAGCAAACTAATTGTGGCATAAAAGTAGATTTTCATGGGTCATTTGTGAAAAAGTTGTTTTGCTTTCTAGAAATCCTTAAAAAATTCATAAGGTTTTAAAATGGCTTTTATGAAGAAAACGTCCAGGCTGAATTGTATTTATCTAAAGCCATTTTGCTTGATCCTAACCCGTTCAGATTTATGGCAGCATTTATGGAGGCAAAGTTGCCTGCAAAAAGTTAAACGTCAAAGTTTGTTTATCTTTCGATAGTTGCGCTGTGGGATCCAGGGTTCTTTCAGGCGGTTTTCTCCCGATGGATTGGGGGCAGTTACTCAGATAGTTTGCGATGCTATTTTACAACATTTCGCATTTCGAACAGCTGGAAGCGCAATCGTTCCCGAAAAAGATCCCCTTCTACCGGATGGTTACAGAAGTGTACCATCCAACGATGCAGGGATGAACGCTTGAATGAAATTTTCGAAGAGTTGATTCTTTCGCCGAATAAAATCGCTGCTAAGCATCGGAAACCAGCTAATCTCCGCTAACTAACAGTTTCAGTGGTTTGCCGTCGGTTGTTATTTCGATTGCCATCTATTCGCAAGATCTGGAGAAGGCTGATATGTTTTTAAACTTTCGACAATGTTTTATGAATTCGAGGGCCACGCTCACTTTACTATCCGCCAAATGGTCAGTCGTTAATGGTTTGCTGGTTATTCTAAAGAAGTAAATTTTGCTGAAATCGACTTGAATTTTTTATCTTACTTCGTCTATCCTTCGAGATTTCCTTGCCATAAATTTGGCTTTTATTAACTATGAGGAACTATCTTTCAAGCTCAACAGACACTGTCTGGCGACACCTGAAAGAGTTCTGGGAATTGCTCCGGAAGAAGCTCCGGAAAAAATCTTCCAGATCAAGAATGGTAGAGAACTTGGAGGGAAGTTATAAGAAAAGAAGAATTTGCCGGGTGAAGTTAAAAAACATTCGAACAATATTTCCAGGGAAACCAGAAAAAGTACGGTAATTGGAAAGGAAATTTTTGGAAGCAATTGAAAAAAAAATCTTTCTTTGGTAGTTAGAAGAAGCTTTCAGGAAAAATAGGAGAAACTTCCAAGGAGAAATAAAAAAAACTTCCTGGAAGCCGGAAGATGATGCCAGAGTAAGTTAGAGGTCTACATGTATAGATTAACAGAAAGTAAAACAAGCATTCTAATAATGCTATCTGATCACAGGATCAAAATAAATTTTCCAATTCCCGGGAAGTCCCGAGTCATTTCGTTTTTTTTCCACCAATGATCGAGATTTAAAGAATGATGAAGCAAAGTGTATCCTTCGACATATATTGACACCATTCTAGTATTGTCCTCTTACCAGAGTTTTTAAACCATTTTAAATCTGGAGTATTATAAATAAATAAGTTGCATTGGTTTAAGAAAAAATAATGTTTCAGAGTTTAAATAAAAACAGAGAATTTGAAATTTTCCAAATGTGCCAGAAACCTATTGGATTTTGTTTAGGATCGGAATCTTTAAAAAAATCTAATTCCTGCATTTCAATTTTGTTCATTTAGTTTCCATGTAAAGGGTGTCCACGATGAAATTGCCACACACAAAATTGATTCGCAAAATTCGAGTTTTCATCCGATTGCCATAAAATTTTCAGGGATTGAGAAATAACTATTAAACTTCATTTTACCATTTTACTCGTATTTTATTTACAGTCCGTACGCAAATGCCCGCACCTTGGCCTTAACCCCGGCCATAAGATTCTGCACAACCTGTGAATCAACCGTTTTTTGCATGTAAACCCATACTTTCTTCAGTTCCTCGACTGTCTTCACTACCTTAGGTCGTTTAAGAAGGTGCTGCTTCATAATCGCCCAGTACTTCTCGATGGGGCGGAGCTCCGGAGTGTTGGGAGGGTTGAACATTTTCGGCACGAAATTGACCTTATTGTCCGCATACCACTTCAGCACGTCCTTGGAGTAGTGGCATGAGGCCAAATCCGGCCAGAAGATTGTTGGGACGTTGTGAGCCTTCAGGAGAGGAAGCAGCCGCTTCTGGAGGCACTCTTTTATGTACACCTGTCCGTTCATCGTGTCCTGGGTCACGAAAGGTGCACTCCGCTTCCCGCACGTGCAGATGGCTTGCCAAACCAGGAATTTCTTCGCAAATTTGGACATCTTCTGAGTGCGGACATGCTCCGGAACGCTGAACTTATCCTTGGCCGTGAAAAACAGGTTGCCGGGGATCTGTTTGAAGTCGGCCTTCACATATGTTTCGTCGTCCATGATGCAGCATTCAACTTTCGTCACCATGTTGAGGTACAACTTCCTGGCACGGGTTTTGGCGGACTTGTTCTGCTTCTCGTCGCGATTAGGGGCCTTTTGTACCTTGAACGTTCGAAGCCCAGCCTTAGTTTTGGCCTTCTGGACAAAACTTCGGCTTAGGTGCAGCTTCTTAGCCACATCCCTAACGGAGGCGTTCGGATTTCGGTTGAAGGCCCCAACTACGCGGTTGTGATTTTTGGTGTTGTACGGAATACTTTTTCCTTCACTTCTGGGCTTCCGATCGGTGGTCAACCGTTCCTCGAACCGCTTAATCACTCGCGACACCGTGGAATTCGCGATTCCCAACGTTTTAGCGATGGAACGATGCGAGAGATCCTTGTTCTCGTGATGAATGCGCAAGATTTTATCACGCACGAGCTGTTCTTTCGACTCCATTTCCGCGAGTTTTGATCACAGGACTTTAAAACTTGCAGGATGTAAATAATGCACTATGAACTAAATCCACCCAAATTTTCATTAAATTCTACCCAACGGTTAAAAAGTAAGAGCAATTTCATAGTGTGGCAATTTCATCGTGGACACCCTTTATATTGTACATTTCTAGAAAATCCTTGAATTTTAACAATTTTTCCATGTCTAATCAACTGATTTTTATTGTTTAGTTGGGACCATTTGTTTACCTGGGACTAAGAACAGGGTGTCTACTTATATTGCTAAATAAAATTCCCTGAGTTTGTTATTTTTTCCCAGGACTACAACTGAAAATTTCCAGGATTTGGAAGAATTGAAGTTGAATTTCTTGAAATAGTCCTCATACTTCCCTAGGATCTCTTATTTGAGTTGTCTTAAGGTGATTACAGTAACAACCCTGACATCCTCTATATTATTCCTTTGAAATTAACCTCAGAACTTCATTGAAAATTTTCTTGAAGCTTTCCTTAAACCTTCTTCGAAATACTCTTAACGAGTACTTTTCGAATCATGATCAGCATTTTCATTGAATTGTTTTCAAAATTCCCATGGGATTCGCCTTCTTCTATTGGAATTCTACTTCACCTCTAATTCTCCTTAGAATTCAATTTTAGTTGTCCTTCCAAAACCTTTAAAAAGGTCGCCTTATAATTACTTTGCAGTTTTAGTCAGAACTTTATTGAATTGGAATTTGGAATTGCCTTGGAATGCTCCAGAGAACTCTCTTATAAATTTACTTTGGAATGCTACTCAGGATTAGCTTGGAATGCTACTCAGAAAAACCTTGGAATTCTCCTTACGATTAACCTGGAGTCTGAAGTTCCTAAGAGCTAATGTTGTACGAGAGTCCTCAGATTTCACTATCCTAAAAATGTATCCTCTAAATTTCCTTGAAATCAATCCTAGGGATCAAAAAAAAAGCCATCATATGAAATTCATCCATTAAATTGATGAGCTTTGCAACTTTTGAAAGGCCTAAAATTTATTCGAAATCTGGGTTTAAGGAATTTATTCTATGTCCGTACACAGCTAAAAAAAAAGTAGTGTAAATTTCCGTTACTATGATGCACATAAATGGAGCGTCATATATCATACAAATTTAGATTATAGATCGTGTAAATTTATGAGACATGTCATGCAATATCCCATATATTGTATGCAACTGTCCACTTTTGTTTGCAACATTTCTTGCAAGTTGCTAATTTACGTGAAAAAGGAAATTTACATGTATGAATGTTTGCATGCATGGATCGCCAGTAAAATTCAGAATTTTTTGGTGTGTAGTGTTGAATATTTATTTTCGTTTCAGATTCTTGAAAATTTCTCAAGTTTGATTTCAATGAGTCCAAGATTTCAACGAATAGTCTAACTTTAAAATCTGTGGAAATTATCCAGTGCTTTAGCAACAACAATTCAAGCCTAAGAATGTATGTAGTTACTGAAGATAAATCCACTCCTAAATTATTCGTTCAAACAGTAGGAGTAACTAACGAGGAAGATAAATTTGGTTGTTTTATGAAATATTTTAAAATGTTTTCGAAGTTTCTCTGGCGTACTTACTGTATTAAAAAATTTGCTCGATAAAGAAAATTTGAAAATTACCTGATCATATTAGGTTTTTCCAGATGAAATAAAATTCCTTGAAGATTCCTGGTTTTCCAGGAATCTTAAGGTCTTTTTCTGGTAGTAGATACCCTGCATGAATAAATCGTAGAAAAATTACTACTTCTTAAAGTCTTAGATCAGTGTTCACTCCGCTGTCGACAGAAGTAGACCAGTCTCGATGTGTGACACGTGATCGTCTGTTTACTCGGCAGCAACCACTGTGTGGTCTTCCTTATTGTTCTTAATCAGCAGTTCAGCAACCGTTTCGTGATGAGTGTGTGATTGCTGACCACGTTTTGCGTCTATTGCTGCAATGGAAGCGCTCTACTCCCCGTTGGCGATACTGCCATACAATGAAACTACTGGAAGCGGCTCCCGTTCTGATGAAGGAGGCTTATTGGATAGCGGAAGATAAAGTGTTTATTGTGTTGTACCTTTTGACTATAGTTTTAAGATGTATTGAAGAGTGAACAAGAATCCTCGGCTCTGTAAAGTTAATTCGATTGAGCCTTATCAAATAAATTAATAAACAACAATTAAAGTCTTAGAACTCTTTTGGGATCATGCAAATTCTTGACAGTGATAGAATACTGTTCCTTTTAGTACCTATAGGGCAGAGAACTACTTCGGCCTAATCGCCCATTTTGGGCCTATCAAGCAGAAAACTTCAAATAAATCCATAATTTCAGAGTTAACAAGTCAATTATGCGTTTGGTACGATACTTTAGTTTATAAGCTACCGAACGAAGTCAATGAGAACGCGTGATATGAAGGTTTGTACCCATTGTTACCAAAAACAAAAGAAGGGCTCCGACCGAATCAATTTTTATCTTCATCCGATAGGCCAAAGTGAATGCATTGGCGTTTTAATGCGTTAGGCCGAATTTTTCAGTAAAAATAGCATTCCGTTTGGTGCTAAACTGCGCTATATTAAGAAAGACTAAGAGGGGTTTGTGCTTAATAAGCCGGAAATGGGGTAGTTAACCCTATCTAGAAACTTTCTTTAAGTTTTAAATTTTGAATATTCCATCTTAGGAATCCCGAAATACCTATTTCCTTTAAGAAAAAAAAAATCAAAGTTAAGATAGAATTAAAAAAAAGGTCAAGTCTCAGAACTTTAAAAATTCTTCTGTCACAGATTGTTGACAAATTTTCTTAAAACCTGATGTATGTGGGCGTCTAAGCGGATTCTACCTTATTTGCTTATCCTTGACAGATACGCGAATTTCGTTTACCTCGACTTGTGACTAATTTTTTTGACGTAGAACTACGTCTGTAATTTCTATATGAGGGTACACTTTGTAAAAACCGGAAATGGAACATGTAACAAAATAACGAAAGATTTTGAACGTTAATAACTCAGCTGCCCCTGGACCAATTCCAATCATTTTATCACCAATCGATCAGAAATATTTCTACGAGTCTGTAAATGTTCATCATTTTTCAAAATGTAACTATTGAAAATTTGCACGAATGTGCAACTGTTGCTATGATAATTAAAATTATAACCGATTGCCTCCGAAAAGCGATTTCCCTAACACGGATTTCAAAGTTGTATTCCATCCGGTCTCACCAAAAGGTGTTTATTCAATCACCGCGTGGTGAGTGGTGGTGTGATCCAGTACACAACGAAAGGCTGAATGCAAGAAGCAAGCTGCTGCCCACATGATCATTAGACTGATGCAAAATTTGAAATTTTCGCTCCACAGTGCTCAAACGGTTCCAAATTGGGCCCTGATTAGCCTCCCGAAATTTGAACTCATTTAGTGAGAAACTGAATCGGCACAAACCATTTGAAGTTTATATGGGAATTACTATGGAGAAACCATAATTTCGGTTCATATCTATCTCAAAGTTCACCAGTTCACTGTACTTTAGAAAATGATAGCTAAGCTTGTTGAAAATTTTCTCAGCTACAACTTTGTTCAAGGCCACTTTTTGATAAAACGTAAGGAACAAAAATGATTAATGATTAAGGTCACTTATGTCTTATGATTATGCTCAATCAACTGTTCAGCAGGCAACATTATTGTTTATGGCGCGTAGAATAGAGGACAAAAATCATGGCTACTATGTCACACTGCAGAATACAGTGTTGCCCACAATACAGTTGCTTAATCTTGCCATAAGATTATAAATCTATTAAACAATTAATAACTATTTAATTTGACGTTTGACTGAAAAACGATTTTCTGCACAAAAGTATCAGATAAAAATTCCCATAAGATTAGCAATAGAATTTGTTAACAGTTCAATATGTAAAAAGGCTAGAAGACAATGAACAAAAAGTTTGGTTTTCCCATGATAATTTCCATATAAACTTCAAATGGTTTGTGCCAAGTCAGTTTCTTATCAAATGAGTTTAAACATTTGGAGCCAAATCAGCACCCGATTTGAAACCGTTTGAACACTGTGGAGGGAAAATTTCAAATTTTGCATCAGTCTAATGATCATCCATAGAAGGAGGAAGAAGCCGCACCGCTATTGATCGGAATCAGTAGCTCTTCGTTAGTCGCTGTGGGCCATCTATGTCAAGCGCGTCATACTAAAGAATACAAACAGAAAGAACCCCGCTCAAATTCCTATTCCTACACAAAACACAATCTCGGGCTTAATTTATGATCTTAAATTCGACAAAAAATATGGCAATCTTGTAGAGCTTCCACCTTTTTTTTCTTGATTTGTTTTCCGTCGATCTTGTTTTCCGCTACCAACGTCAGAGAGGCAGCTCCCACACCTGGACCCTACCAATCGACCTATCAACTCATTAACCGGGAACCAACGGCTTTACCTCGCTTCCGAAGAAAGGCGTGATCAGAGATGTTATGCCTCAGAACATCCCGGCGGCGCCGAATGGGTATGAACCCAGGCCTGCTGGGGTGAGAGGTAATCACGCTTACCACTACACCACTATCCACCTTTTTCAAAATTTGTCATGATTCTAGTTAATGATTTAGAAAACAAGGAAGCTTTAACTCCTTTGTTCACCGCTCTGGTAGCGTTCATGGTATTTTTTTTTATTTCAGAACGACCAAACAATTTTTAGCCCAAATATTATCTATTATAAAATCGGAGAGAAAGATTGCTGAATATGTTATTAGAAGTAGTTATAAGAAGTACCAAATTTTGAATAATTTCCTGTATATTTTCTAAATTCAATATTTTTTTATGTGTATGATTAAAATGGGCATATATACAAAAATAGATTTAAAAACTGCTCTATCTAAGCCAAATTCATCTAGATCCAAATAATGTCCATCAATTGCGTGCATTATCACGGACGTCTTGCAATGATAGTATGCAAAATTTCCAAAAAGACTACCCCAAATTTAGTTGAAATGAAAATCCTCTACGCTTCACAGTTTTGTGATAAAACTTCAAAGCGTTATCAGTTTTTCCGCGATTACGACACAACCTGAAGGGGAAAAGTTTCTAACCACAACCATTACCGCCACGTCGCGTATATCTAATGGATTTTCATATTAGATTACATGT